TTCACACTTATTTGCATCATTTCCAAACACAACCAAAGCAAATGGAATATTGGAATTGCACTTCAAACAAAACGAGAGTTCTTGTTTTGCACCAGTTCAAAAGATATGTTTTCTCCTTGGAATATAACTATATATTGCACTAAGCAGAATGAAATGGCAAAACAGGATTCATGTATTAATACTATATATAGGACAAGAGTCTCATGATGATGATGATGAATATAATATTTATGGAGAAATAGATTCCTCAAAGCGATTATTTTCAATATTTTGGCTGAATTATCCATATGGAGGGATAGTTTAATTTCAACCACAAAATTAGAATCGAGATGGATGGAGTAGAAATGCATTCTGAGAGTGTTGTGTCACTGACAGATACAATTACAAGTTTATAATTGACTTCTAAGAAGATTAATTATAAACTGAACTTTGATTAACTTACAGCTCAATTTGAAAAGAGTACAAATGTAAATATGTACAGTGCAAATACATATAAAATAATACAAAATATAAGGTTTTGCACTCTACATATTTGCATTTGTACTCCTTCCAAACTGAGCCTACAGAAAAATAAAACACAATATATTCATTAGCTTATTAAGAATGCTAATCCAAACCCCAAAAAGACGATACAGATTCAAAGAATAGATAGCTACCACATGTGCAGGCAGAATCCTGTGATCAATACCTTGTTGGTGGGGAATTGAAAGTTACCAAGTGCTCCTCCATGAATCTGCATTACAGGGTGGGTTTAGAGGATGCTTACATTTAATAGTGAATTGCTTCACCTCTGTATCCTAAAGTAACAACAAAGAGATGACTTCATTTGTAGTGTTTTATCCCGGCTTGTAGCTATCTTTAATGGGAACTCTTAGTTTCTAGTATTGATTCCTTAACCCCACAACATATTGGTTGGCAATAAATGAGTGAAACCAATTTCTTGTTGCCTTTTCTTAGGTTATTGTCAGCTCTTAGATATGTGGGTCATTTCTGTTTCACTGAACTTATAAGGACTTCTATTGGTTCACTACCATTCCATCTTTTGCTAGTTACTAGTTGAAGTGTTGAGAGATAGTGTACCACCACTTGAGTTATAGAGTCCAACTGACACACCCGAGTGTGTATCAGTGTATAACCACTTCGATACTCTTTCATGTACCGATATTTATATTGCAATATTTTAAACCTTGATCAAAATTATATATCCTTCATATATTTGTACTTCATTTTCTTCTCTTCTTTTTCTGGCTTCTTCTAGCTAATTTTTCACAAATGGGATGAACATTTATGGAGTGTCAAACTCCATTTTATTACAGTTACAATCCCAATTGGACAATTTATCTAAGCGCCTGTAATTAAAATTAAATGATTCCATGGAATGATTGGCGCCAGGGTCTCACTAACGCATTTTACGTTTTAGCAAGCATAGTAATTGATGTTGTCTGATTTGAAGTATTCCGAATTAAGGACGCAAGTCAAAAAGTTCTGTTAATTAGACAAAACCAAGGTGAAAGGATGAAGTCATGCACCTAGATCTGCAACCAGGTAAAAGATTAGAAGTCCGAAGAATTGTTCTTCGGGTAGGCACTCTGATGCCCAAGTCAGTAAGATCGAGAAGGATGTGGTCGGGCTGAACAGCTTAAAATAGCACTAGTCCAAGCCAAAGAGATAGTGTAAAGAAGTATTCAAAGAGCGTTGTTCCAAAAGGTCCCTTACCTCAAACAGGGAATACCTATTTATAATTGGGTGTTGGTGTCATAGATGGATAGGGTTTTCGGGATTGTTGGGATGGGGGCGTCTGGCGAAATCTTCGAGAGATTTCCTCTTTCCTGGTGGAATCCGCTTTCTTGTTTGTACAGGACACTTCTTCTTAATCGTGTTTTTTTGTTGTGCTGAGAGGGGGCCGACCGCAAAAATTGTCACATGGTATCCTTGACCAGTTCAACCATCATCCAAACACTAATCGAAAAAGTAAAAACATATTTCAGTGTACTTTTAAACTTTTAACCGTTCTGTGGTTCCATCAATGAACTTTTTCATATCAAATAAAAAAGACAGATAAAATGGATCTATGCATTAAAACCCAGACCGGCAACGAAGCTGTATCAACTTTTTTGGCAACTGCTTTCTTTGTTCCTCCCGTCCATCACATAATATTAATACCAGTTAGGAGAGGTCTCTCATTTCAAGTGAATTAAATGAAAATGGACAAGATAGAAGGAAGCACCATAAGCATGAGCCATTTGAGTCAGGTCGAGGCTGACCAGCTGAGATGGGGCCAACCTTCAAGCAAAAAGAAACCACAATAGCCAAACCAAAATCCTCTCTTGCCCTAGGCTATATAGCTTTAAATGTGCACCTTAATATAATTGAATCTTGAACTAATATATACACACCCATAAGGCGCTCACATGATCCTAATGATCTCAACAGTTAAAATACTGTAGAAATTGCCATGTAATGAACAATTTGGTAAAGCCTAAAAGTTGGGGCCGGATGGGGGTTTGCATCAAGAGAGTAAGATGCATAAATGAAATTATTTCATGAGGAAACTATGGAGGTGGAGGACAGAAACTGTGAGGAGCATGATATTTGCAGCCAAATTTGACAAAGTGAAAAAAAATCCTGAATACTGAATGCATCAGAAGCAGATAATGAGTGAGGGTAACAATTGAAATAAAATGTGTTTTGTATAGTTCCAGTTGGGCCACTTGAGATATATTCTTTCAATGTAGGCCAGACCACCTTTTATCATATGCATGGGGCATCAACCCATTGATATCACTGTCAAATAAACAAGAAATCTCTGTGGGGCATGAATATAGTACAGGATTCAAATTGTCTTAGATGATATCGGATGTGTTTGGTATCATTACTGCTTCTACCCATCAATACAGATTGATATACAACTATTTGAAGCTGTTTGTATAAATGTCATATTTTTGCTCGACAAAATAAAGTCTATTCATTGTAGCTGAAAGTAACTGTCATCTGTGATGTGACAATACATATTTCTCACTAATTTTTATTGATCAATACAAAAGGTTTGAGCTTGAGATGTAAAAAGCAAATGGTACCTAACACAACCATCATCTCCCTTGGAACTTTGTCATATATTGTTCAGATATTGGATTTCATTTGCAGTATTGGAAAAGGATTTTTTTTTTCTGGAAGCTTTATAAATCAGAGACAAATTAATGGCTTCAATGCAAGTTTATACTCAACTAAGCAGCCTTGCTTGCTAGTTCTGATGAAGGTCTCAACTGCAACAGACTCACTCTGAGCTTGCTCGGTTCATATTCAACATCCCAATTTCTACAAGATTAGTCTTTTACTCCGAGTATAAGTGGTAATACCACTGACAAAGATAGGAATTAGTGTATGTTATAAGAACTACTTGAGGACTCAGAGAAAAGATGCACCTCTACTTTTCCGTCACAAGTAGGAATGCTGAAAATTAGATGGCACCATCAGATTGAAAACCTACAAATTTGACCTTGTGATGAGACTACAGGACGAGTTTGTGACAAGACTTGGTCCATGGAAAATGACAAAGACGACCCAGATTCAATATGTCTCACGCCGAGACAAATCGGAGGACCAGTCCATTCCAATAGCACTTCCTATCCAAAAGAAAAACTAAGAGATAGTGGAGATCCAACCAAGAGATCTCAGAGTTGTAATGTACCTCAGTTCTAGTTTGGTCTGTCTCCACTCTACCCCAATAGAAAACACCTGACGCAAAATGGAGATGTAGGTAATCAATACATCCTTGTACACTGCTAGGTACCATGGTCTGTGTGACTCTATGCTAAGACCTTGTTCTCTTTTCGGATAGTTATTTATCCGGGTAAATGCAGTTACCTAGGTAAGTTCTTCTTGAGAAACACTTATCCGGGTAAGTGCATTTACTCGTGTTCTTTTATTTCTCATGTAAATAAAGCAATGACCATTTTAGTCATAAAAATCCATTATTGAAAAGGGCATTTTTGTCCCATTCAAGTATTGGCAACTTCCCCCCTAGGTGAGAAAGTTATTTATCCACCTAGGAAAATAAACTTTCCCTAATCCCCACATAAACTTTCCCCCTCTCAAAATCTGAAAAAAGAACGCCCCCTAAATATTAAATGAGATTAATTCAAAGAATTGGGAAGTCTCAACCTGATTATTCATGGGAAAAGCTTCTCAAGATGGTGCTGGGAAACACAGGAAACCCTTGGTTTTTATGGTACCAAATTGTTGTAGTCCAGCTCTGAGAAACTATGAAATGGATGAACATGACTTCCGAATACATTGCGTGAAGAAAACAGGTTGGTAAAATGCCACTGCCATGGCCGATGCCTTCCAACCACCAGGCACCAGCCAAGACGTTCTAACAGATGACAGAGATTGGCAAACCTTATCTGTCGGCATGATATGTTTTGGCCTTATCAGTGTACCTCACCCAGATCCAATGCTCCCCACCCCCATTGATGTACTGTACCTGTGGTTATATTTATAGAATTTTGAGTTTCTTACCAACAAATAAATAAATAAAATTGAGTCAATCCCCACTGGGAATGAATTTCTAAGAGAAGAATTCCTCCATGAACCCTGTGCAACCAGGCCCCCTCGACTYTGTCTTGAGAGAGGTGTGTAAAAGTTGGCTCATTCAAAGAACTGAGCTGTACCCACTAAGTGTAGCGGGTCTGTCACTCTCAGCTGTGTTCATTCAAAAGAAATGACAAAACAAGATTTTGTCATCGTCGTCATCCAAACTTTATTTATTTATTTATTTATTGTTATGATCATCTAAACTTGAATTCAAACTTTTGGGTTGGTTATATGAAACATGGGAAGAGTATAAATTCAAGTAAAAATACATTCATCTTCCATTAAATCTACTCAACAAGGAAAGATAATTACTGTCCCGTTCAAGTATTTTAATTGCAATACCAATAGGACTACATGGGTACATTACTGACTTTGCTTTCAATATTGCAACGTGAGAGATGTCAATGCACTCCACAAAATCACTATTTCATAAGATTTATACAAATTAAGGGGGAAAGTAGCCAGAACAATAATGGAGCATGGATATAATGATAATACCTCTAAGTCTAAAATGTTACAGTTCAAATAGCCGATAAAACGGGAATAACAAATAGCAAACAAAAACCGAAATCTATTTCCATTCATTGTCCCCAAGAAAGATCTCTCAGTGTACCAACATCATAAAATTTACACATGCAGTTAACATCTCACCTTGTCTGTTTACATCCAGATTGACAGAAACATATAGAGCTTTGACTGTAACCATTTATGAACTAGCCTTTTTTGGAACACAAACAAACCACAGAATATTATTGCAATAAGTTCCCGCGGTGAGAACCTTCTGTCCTGGCTAACCCTGAAGGTTACCCAATGCAACTGGTAATGTTTTAATATCCGGTGATTGCATGTAGGAAATCGATATCAACTCAGAACGATACTTTTCAGCTCCATCACTTTCTTCCACCTCAACCACATTTTTGTTGTTCAGATTTTCAGAATAGAGCTCCGAGACGAGAACCTTGTCTGGTATGGACTGAGAAATAGCAATAAGTGACTCTCGGGCCAGTTCCTGAGAAACCTCCTTGCCAGGTACTTGAGTATCCATAAAATGAATATGCTATTTCCTGCAAAATTTTTAACCACAATTGGAGAACAGTCATCATGATGGGCAAAGTTGACATATGTGGTTCTAAGGGCAAAACATGTTATTAGCAGAATAATCTGATTAAATGAACTTAAAAGTATTATGCCACCACTTTGAGAGTAGTGATGTCTTTAGCTCTATAAGTACATATAAAATCTTAAACATCCAAGGGCATAATAAAATGCAATTTTACTACCAATCAAAGGCTGCAATTTCAGTATTGTGTCTTGGAGTTAACCAAAACACTGGGCGTCCAATTATGCACCATTTAAACATACTATCAATGACCAATATGAACTTAAAACTAAATAATGTAAACAGATTAAATTTTCAGCGAATTTGGGTTTTGGGCTGAAAACTTGCCCCATGAACAATAGTGCAGAGTAACACATGAGGCCCCTTGGGGCTCTAACCATTTTGTCCCAAGGAAGATTCCTCATAACCATCCAAGCCTTGTCCCAATTCCCAACTATATGGGATCGGCAACATGAATCCTGTTTCATCACTATGTTCTCTTTAATGTCATATCCACATTCCATTTTTAAATTATGGGCACTTAAATCATTTTAACTACTTTGACCCATGTCCTTTTTGGTCTACCCCTAGACTTTCTAGTCCCTTCAACTTGCAAGTTGCATCAGATCAATTCTTCTTACAGGTGCTGTTAGTGGTTCTCTATGCACATGACCTAAACCATCTTAGTCTACTTTATCTCATTTTATCACCTATTGGAGTTACTCTTAGGTTCTTTCGAACGACTCCATTTCTGACCCTATCCATTCTAGTTTTTCCATTCATCCATCTCAGCATACACATTTCTATCACACTCATTTTTTGGACATGTTTCTTGACTGCCTGACATTCTGCTCCATACAACATGGTTGGCCTTACAACTGTTTTTTAAAATTTTTCTTTCAATCTAAATGGTATTCGTTTATCACACAAGACTCCAGATACACCCCTCCATTTTGCCCATTCCACTCTAATTCTATGGGAAACATCCTCCCAAATCTCTCCCTTGTTATGAATTATCGAACTAAGGTACCAGAAACGGTCACACTGTGTTATCTCTTGATTTTCAATCCTAAGTGTATCCTCATATGCACTCTTATTATTAAAATTGCATGTCATATAGTCTGTCTTAGTCCTACTTATTTTAAAACCATTTCTTTCTAGGGTATTTGTATGTAAACTTAATTTTACTTTTAATCCTTCATTAGTTTCATCAATTAAAATAAAGTCATCAGCAAACAACTTGCACCACGGAACCTCCTCCTGAATATGTTTAATCAATTCATCTATGATCAATGCCAATAAATAAGGCCATTTAAACCTTTTCTCCAAACAACCTGACTAGCAACCAATTTCCCTATCCTAGTAGCACTTCTTATTCCTCCATTCCACTCAAAGGTAGTGTCTTCTGTTAAAGAATGGACCAATAAATATGAAGGATTTCTATATATCATTAGAAGACATTTAGTTTCCATTGCAAGAGTTCCAAACATGACACAAGTAACAGCATCTTGTGTGCTGTCAAGCCATCTTGTACTTCCATCCCATAGAACTGCATCCTGCACAATGTAGTTAAAGGCAGCCAGGTGACACCTAGACATTTTGGCCTGACAAGGCAAGTCAATGCCTAGACAACAACTATGTGTTTCTTATGGGACAAAAATAAATAAACAAGCATATACATGTTTCACAATGTATATGAAAATATACACACACATATTTGCAATGTATTTATATATTTACAAGTTAATTATATCACTAAACTACAAAATAAATCAGTCAGTAGATGATTCAGTGACAATTTAAACTACAAGAACTTCTCAATTCTTCCAATCACAGCTGCCATTCCACTCTCCTGCAAATCTGCAATGACCAGCATATAGCAAAAGGGAGTACTTTCCAGTTCCCAAAGGACTCTGCCTTCACACTAAAACCTCCCACCTGCCTACAAGATAAGAGCATAGATAAATCTTCTAGGATCACCCAAACCCCACTAAACAGACTTATAATGTACACCCGTGCACCCCAAGATGGATCATACTGTATGAATATGTGGTTGATTGAATCCTCTGCTTGGTTGCATAGCAAACAAACATAATCAATAGCCATCCCTCTATGAATGAGATGGTCAATCATTAGAATCCTGCCAGAAATCACAGTCTACAAGAAAAAGGAGATCTTAGATGGAACCAGGCCTCTATCCAAATCATCATCCAAGGAAAAGGATCAGACCTTGGACCCATCAAAGGGAGAAGAAAGCCACCACCAAGAATTGACTAGATACCCTCCCCCTACACAATCTAGCATCCAGGATGTCCAGCTGAATGTTGATCTAATCTAGTGATTAGATAAGAATCACCCTCCTAGTCATCAAGATGTCAGAACAATTGAAGTCCATTCCACATTACATCCAATGATATCATAGCAGTCCTTCATAACCTTTATTTAGAACCCAACTAAAAAGGTTAGGAAAAGAGAAACAAAGAGGTCTATTTCCACATCACACATTTTTCCAGAATAGAACCCCATTCACCATCCTAGTTTGAATGCAATGTGCTCAGAGAATTTCCAAATTGCCATCCCGTGTAATCTATTGCTAGGAATCAGATCTCAGTCCAAAGAAATGCCATACTTGCTAAAAATGACCTTTCCCCAAAGGTTATATCTTTCTTCCCCATGCTATCACTGCCAATTGCCCAAAAAGGCCTAGTTATTCTTCCTCAATTGACAAGAAACTACTCTCCACCACACACACACACACAATACACATACACACATACTTCTTATAACAGCACAGCCTACACATGCCACTAAATGAAACTTGAGCATCCTGAGGACCATCCCAGAAGAAAACTCCTTATCTTCTCAAGCATAGAGGTCACTGATGCTTGTATAGCGAATAATGATAAGAAATAAATGGGAAGGTTTGAAATAGTACTCTGAATGAGGTCACCTTATGTCCTCTTGATAAATAACCCATGGCTTTGCTACCAAAACAAAAGAGATAACTTTATCAAATTAACTACGAAGCAACTATGTGCCCTCTAAATGGATCAACTATCAGATGTCTCCATAACTAGTTTGACCATTTACAAAGCTCTTCAGATTCAGATCCTTTTCATTATAGACATCATCAGTAACCAAATATCATTACAAACTTTTCTATAAACCATATCCTCACGGGTCCTTACACTAGGCAATTTTGAATCCTCAACTCAAATTCTTAATAGAAATCTGTTAGAAATCCTCTACTCCTCACCAGTTGAAGCTGTTACAAGAAGAATTCCACCATGACAAGAGGTACGCAAGTTTAAACTACAATTTGATGGAAGCTCTCACAGGAACCTTAGGACAGCTGGCAATGGAGGTGTTATCTATAGAAGAAATAGCAGCATCCTCTGGGTCTTTCCTATGGGGCAAGCTGATTCCATGTAGGCCAAAATTGTTGCTCTTTTAACAGTTCTTTAGAATTTAGATAGCAAAACTGCTAGGCCACTCATCTCTTTGCATTAAAAGGGATTTAGCAAACACAAACAGATAGAATGAGAACCCAGGGAGCAGCCTGTGGAGATTGGCTCAACTTTTGAGCAAATCTAGGAAGATTGCAGCATCTTTACAAACTCATGAACCCTAGGGACTTATTCTTGTTTATCAGGTATATCCTGTCATGAACACCAATTTGATTATAATTTTTATACACATTCAGCTATCCTTCTTAAAAATAAATGAATAAATAAACCATAACCACTTGGCAATAAGTAATTTCCTCCAAGATCCTTAAACAAGCAAACTTCAATTACTAACCAACTATTCATTGGACAATTACTGAAAAAGAAGTCTTCCCATCTGAAAATACATTATGAAATACAAAGACCAACTCTTTACTCTTCTCTATTTTGAATTCCAGGGTTGCAGAAAAACCACCATCATATTGCCATTATCCTTTAAATATGGTAGAAAATAGAAAAATGCCAAGGTTAGTTGCTCATGCAGAGGTTTATTTGAAAGAAATCAGACACCTAAGCTTGCAAAAAGGCCCTTACATTAAACAAACCACATTCTCGAAAGACAAAATTATCATTTGATTGAAACTTTAAGTTATCCCAATGAAAGAGGGATAATTTTAAGTCTCAAACTATACTATATCCCCATATTGAAAAAAAAACTCTTTGCAAAGCAAATTGTGGATGTATTCTACAAAGCAAAGCCATGAAAAAGAAACACTAGTAATGGCATAAAAGATTAAACTGCATCTAAAAGCAGAAGATAAGGTCAAGTAGGAGGAGGGCTCGAAGAGACGTCGCAGAGGTCTTGGAACTGCACTAAGAAGCACTAGGATAAGATAAGATCAAACAGAAGTTGGAAGCAGCATAAGAGCTGCACTCAAGTCATATAAAGAGTGTAAATAATGTTCTGGTTGACTTTAACTAGGAGAAAGAACATAGACTTTTACCCTCAGAATCACCAATAAGAAAGCTAGGGAAAAGCTCAAACAGAAAGCTTCCCTTGGAGGGGAATAGGGACACTAATGGTAAACTACCCTGTTTTCAGAAGACTAAGGCTGTATTTGGCATTCTTTATTTTAAGGACTTATCTCCTTTTTGCTGTTAAAAACTCAGTGTTCATAGGGGCATTTTAACTGAAAAAAGGAGATAAGTCCTCAAAACAAGGAATGCCAAATGCAGCCTAAGTAAAATTAAGGATGTTTAATCACTTTTCATGTCAAAATTCAGCCATATGGAACAACAATAGAAATCCAATTTTCGTGGGCACCTCTCTTCCATTTTGACATTTCATAAACAGAAAGAAGAACTGGAACAAAAATGGATGGTAGCCAAATATCTGTTGGGTTAACTTCTAGCTTAAGAGATGTCCAAAGAGAAAGTAATTGTGTTGACGAAGTATACATAGAACCTCACTTACCTATCTCAGTACTTCTTCATCTATTCTTCCAACATAAAGGGTATTGAAGAGAGAACAGAAATCAAATCTTCTCTAGTTGAAAACATGGAACTGGCAGTTGTAAAGGATCATCAAGCACGACTAAAAAAACCGGGTATCTCCCAGCATCTAGAAACAAAACGATGAATTATACAGCAAAACTCAGGCAATTTAAGTCAAAAAAGTTTGGAACGTTCGACCGAAATCAAGCTCAGGCCCCGACAGACTGTCATCATATATATGATATCTAGATGAACAATTAGAAGAGAATCACCTCAAATCTTTCTAGGTCACGCAACTATTGTTTCCGAAACTCTTTAACAATCAAATATCTTGCCAACGATCGTCCAAGAACGAAGAGGTGCCAATTTCATACAAACCGATACGCAATAATGAGAAACTCACGAGATTTCTCAAACCGATCTCACTGATAAAAATAAGGGAATTCAAATTTGTTCGAGTTTCAAAAATTCCGGCAATAAAAAGAGACCATTAAAACCCTAAAAGGCGAAGGACATGCTCATCACCAAAACAAGACAAGCTTCATCAATCATCGTAACCTTAGGCCGGCAAGACCGATCGAACAAAATAACAGAAATACCAACAAACTAATACAGGAAAAACAGAACGAAGAAAGAGAAAGAGAAAGAGAAAGAGAAAGAGAAAGAGATATATCGTTCGTACCTTGTTAACTGAAAAAGTAGGTTGGTGAGGGATGTTTCCGTTTGCGGGGACTTTTAAACGAAGGAACGTTGCCTTTTCACTCACTCCTTGGAGAATCGCGAGGCGAGGGTCCTGCCGTCCTGGTCCTCCTCCACCTCCAATCCTGTCCTGTTTCCTTTATTACACGCACTGGTACCAAAGCTGATACGTGGTTACACGTGGCCAAGATGTTGACTTGTATGATTCAGTGCAAAATGATACACATAGATTAATGTATATACAAATATATCAGGACCCTGTATGCTTTTTGCTATTATCCTCTGAGAAGTGAGAACGATTCTACAATCCATAATCATAAAGCATGTGGGATGGGAGGCCATTGGATTGGAATCTTTGGTATTAGAGAGACTGGCTGATGAAAATAAAGTGAAACACTCTCCCTCTCACTCCGTTGATGGGCCAATAGTGATGCACCACGTCGGTTGTACACACGTGGGTTATCATGATTGGCCCAATACCGACATGGCCCAGTTTTTCGATAGAAGACACGGTTGTTTGAACCAACTGCCAATTACGTACACACGTGGGATATCAGACCATGGAAGGCGACGGGTCACTCTGACGGTTGCAGTAGTTGCAACTGATGCGATTAAAAATTTCAAATTTGGATCCCCGCCCTCGTAAGCGATAACTAATCAAAAATCAATTTGAACGGAACAAAAGAGATATAGATATAGTGGATTAGACCAATTTGGTCCAAAATATTTATTAGATTGGATTGGACCCTGTCCTGTCCGTCTATAAGATCAATAGACTGGGTTTAGGTTGAAACTTCCCCTCCATTATAAGATTTCATTACATGTGATGTGATGTTAAAAGTTTTCAAATACCCATTTTTGCCATTTTTCTGTTTATGGTGAAGAAAGAACACAAATCTGAAGTTCTTATTAATATTTCTGATGAATGTTGAAACCGTTGCAAGATTTGACGATGCAAACAATATTCAATTCATTGAACGTTGCAAAACTAGAATTTGGGTGCTTTTACAAATGGATCTTTAAACTCATCAATTTAGGACGATAACTCTCAAAATTAAAAACCCAGTTAAATTTACATGAGCACTATCTTTTATCTTCTCAAGGAAGTGGCGATGCCAAGCTTTCCTTGCAACCACTAAATCTGGAACGTTAATGACAAATAATCTGAAAAGCTTTTACGATCAAAATTTTGCTGAAAAAGAATTGCAACAGAAATTTGAAGTAGAATGGGCGCTTCCTGTTTTCTGTTTTGAGACTATTCTACTGTTTTGAAAATTTAATGATTTAAGAAGGACAAAAGAGACCTTTTAATGGCTCTGTTGGAGAGGTATTAGTCCATTTTAAAAAGTGAGTGGAGATTTCAATATTTAAGAAAATTTTGAAGGGAGGTTTAAGTCTTTTACGTTTTACCCTAATTTTCAAAAAAAAAAAAAAAAAAAAAATTAATGGCAACAAGTGCATTTTCTCGTGTGATGAGGTCATGTGGCAGAAAATTATGATGTGCCTAATGTTGCTTTTCTTGCTTTTCATATTAAAAATACAGTTTTTTTTTTTTTTTTGTCTAAGGGCTACACAATGGGGGTAGTCCACCTCCTACTCAAGTGTAGGCAGGATTCGATCCCAAGTTTTTGTTACAATTGAAAGAACTTTTGCTCCTATTAAATTGTAGTCTTGTAGGTACAATCACTTTTTCACGGTAAATTTAAAGCCACCTCATTCATCATGGGAAATTTCAACATAAACAAGGAGGTGTGGATTCATCATCTACCGTAAAAAGTGATTTTACCTACAATTTAATAAGACCGAAAWTTTTTTCGCTACAACCAGTAGGAGACCTTACCAACCAGTCAATTGGCATCTTGCAAATAAAAAAAAAAGAGAGTTGAAGGAGGTTTAACTATTTATCTCTTGTTTATTTACTTGATTATTTTTCATTTTTTAATTAAACCAGTCGAGAGGTTACCATCCGACCCATGACCTAGCTAAAAAAATTAGGGTGATCATAGGCTGGGCCGGGCGTAGCACCTATTATAAGGGCCATAGGCCATAGCCCTGGCACACAGGGCCAAACCATGACTTTGATTTATATATATATATATATATATATATATATTATAATAGGTGTATAATATTTATTTTGAACATAAAATAATATGTGTGTACGTGTGGGCCTGACTTAAAGATTGGGCCCAGGCCAAGCTGGGCTGAAAATGATCACCTCTAGCCGAAATGAGTCTGAATTTAGTCCAGTTTCAGCAGCACCACCTACAGTAATTTTAACCAATATTCTTGATCAAAAAGACAAACAAGGGACTGAATTGATCCTCTCACAACACTTCCGGCGGTCGGTGCATTGGGAACATTTCCACTCCAATACGAGTAGTAGTAGCCCTCGTATGAGGCATTGAGGCATGATCAGGATATGAGTAGTGCCCGAAGTTTGGTCACACAAATTAGACATGATCAGGATATGAGTAGTGCCCGAAGTTTGGTCACACAAATTAGATTTGGTGGTGAAAACTGAAAAGTCATTTTCAAATAAAGTTTGGCATCATAAGTATAACCTATGATAATGGAAAGGAACGGTGCCTAAAAAGTAAAAACTTACAACCAGAACCAGTCAACTGGGTATCAAAATAATCACCCTTTTGTTACAAAGTTTTTTTTAGGAAGATCAAGATCACTCTTTGGTAAGTATTCTGTTGTTCTATCAAGTTCTTAAATGAAAGATTTTAGGTATTGAAAGATGAAAAGCTTTTTGATTTTTGGTCATTTTGGGCTTCCGTAAATTGTACGGGATATGGGTCTTTCCAGCTTCTTATCTTTATTTGCCAAATAGAGAAAAAAAAAGACTTGCCAAACGCCCTCTATTTATTTTGAAGCTGACAGGAGAACAACTTATGTATTCACAAGTGTTCAAAAGATTCAAGAGAAACTCACACACACCTATGACTCTCTGAGTCTGTGACCTAACAACGCCAAAAGGACAGAAATCTCAGTTAAGGGGCTACTGACGTATTGTTACCAGGTTGACAAGTTTTGATAGTTCATGTCTCAATCACTTTTCTCCAATAGAAAGTGAAAGGGGCTACTGACGTATTGTTCTTTGGATAGACTTGAAGTGATTCTCATTCTCATGCTTATCAAGATTTTTTTTCTTTTTGGGTTTTTACTGTTCAGTCCATCCCACAAATCGTGATGCCAGCAAGTTATGATACCACCAATCAACCTCCAACCCATCCCTTCAATTTGAATAAATACCAACTGATTGATTAGCACTTTTTATGATACTGGTTGATTGGCTGTAATTTTTTTTAGATATTATGTATTTCTGGTATTATAGTGGACCTACAAAACAAAAATAAACCCAAAAACAGCCTCACACGGAATTAGATAAAACAGAGGCAAAACAAGGGATGCAACTTGGGTGGATTAGGGTTGGGACTTGGGATTTTATCAGAATTTCGATGGATCCAACCAGAAGCCTAACCCCAAAACAATGTAAAATGTCCATTCGGACCAACCAAGTTGCACCCCTAAGCAAACCCCCCCTACTAAATCATTTAATCCACACCGGGAAACTCTGGATATGGCATAAGAAGGGGAGACTAGTTACATCATAGGGTGCAACTTGGCATGGGTCAACCGAAAACCCGTTAAACCGAACCAACTTTAGGCCCGATTGCCAAAATTGAGCTTTTAATGGGTCGGATAAGGATCAAGCATTGGGCAAGGACAACCCATCCCAACCGGATTGTGTTAGGATTACATATTCTAAGAATGGGTTAGGTTAGAGACTTAGGGTTACATATTGTAAGAATGGGTTGGGCTGGGAGCCTGTGATTAAGCTTATTTGAGTTGTGAATTGGGTTAGGGTTGAGGAACACTTGACTTGGCTTAAATTGACATCAACCTAATCTATTCCAGACCGAGTTACACCTGCACCCATATCAGTATTGTGAGATTTTTGAGATCCATAAATGGGAGATCATTCAGGCCGACCCACATGAGACCTTGTTTAAAACTAGGGAGGAGTAGATGGATTTAATACCAATCGCTGCTTGAAGCTAGATAGGACTTACAAGTTACCTTTCTCTAATTTGGAAAAGTTGAATTTCCCAAGTAGAGAGTAAATTCTCAAAATGCAACCGGTCAAAAATACCCACAATTAAGGCTCAAGGGTTTCTCCTCTCCTTACAAGCTCATTGTTGCCACTGCTGATCATCCCATTATTATTATTGGTGATGCTGCTTCTCTCCTTGCATTGCAAGCTCATTGTCGCTCTTCTAATTAGTTGCCACCACTGCTGCTACTTGCATTCCTTTTATCCACACAAACAGTAACAACTTCTTAAGCCTTGATCTTTTTTTTCTTGGATTCAAGTCTTTAACATGCTAACATAAAAATCAGATTAATTCCAACCCTTTAAAGCTCTTCTGATCATTGGACTTCTTGATGGAATCTTAACTCCACTCTGAAGTTTTATTGGAATGTTGGACCAGACTGTGCTGTGCTGTTCAATTAATTCTTGATTACGTTTTGACATGTCTGTTAGATCAATGAACCTATGCATAATATATTGTTGTTTGCACTTTACAAAAGAATGGAAACTAATCAAATAAAAATACACAAAAACGAAAAGAAAAAGGGAAAATTGTATTGATGATTAAGATAGAATGCAGATTAAGGTTTAATAAGTGATCAATTTTAATAAGATCAGATCCACAAATTGAACAACTAAAACACTAGTGGTCTCCAGAAATGAACTAAAACCTCTCTGAATCCACTCTCATAATGATCCAATAAAATCTCTAACAAGAATTGATATTAGATATTTAGATGTGGCAAATACATATCCAGCTCCCTACATCCAATATATTCTTTAAACAGAGATGAGTGATCATCATTTTCATGATTATATCCAGTAGGAAAGAACCCCTGTCATGTAAATTTGTAAAATCACATCTCTTCTCGTTGCTGTATGTTGTTGTTGTAACAGGTCTTTTCTCAAAGGCTGGCCAGTCACCATTTTTAAATCATTTGAGATATGTAGTTATGTACATTACCGATTACTTTGATCTAATAATGAGGATGCAACATCTAATAATGGGGTGCAACTTGGGTTGGATTGGTTGGGCTCAGCAATTGTTAAGTTCTTACACACAAATCTGAATCTGACATAGTTGAAAATCTTCAAATTGAGCAACCTTCGGGCCCATTATAACCCATTAAACATGTTACTGGAATAATGAAGTCCAAAAACTTGATTTGGGTCCAACGGGTAAAAATAGCAAAAGGTTTAAAAGAAAAAAAATAACAATTTACCCGGAAAAACAGATGAGGCAAAGAACATGAGAAAGGTAAGGCCATGTTTGGTTCAATTCTCATTCTTTCTCATTTTTACCTAAGATGAAATTCTAAAATGGACAAGAATGGATAAAAATAGGCAGAATGAGAAAATATTACTATAAACCAAACACTTTTTTCCTAAAAATAATTTCTTTTCAGACTGACAGGTATTCTATGTAAAAGTGCATTCACAAAAACACTTTCATAATAAAAGTACTTTCAAAAAAGGGCTTTTGTGAAAGTGCTTTTGTAAAAGTATTTTTATAAAAGTATTTCTATAAGTGTTTTTATAAAAGCATTTCCGTAAATGTGCTTTTACAAAAGCATTACATAAAAATGCTTTTATAAAAGTACTTTTAAAAAATGTTTTCATAAAAGCACCTTTGTAAAAGTGCTTTTATTGAAGTACTTTCATGTAAAAATATTTTTTAAAAAATACTTTCATAAAAGTACTTCCATAGTAGTCCCTAGCAAGGTTCAAAGTATCATTACGTATCGGCCTGTATCGTTCCGGGACCCTTCCAATACACCCCTACAGTGGGTGTATCGGGGGTTTGACTGATTCAGGGGATGGAGGGGTCATAAGCCGGCTCCCCTGAACCAGTTTTTTTTTAAAAAAAAAAAAGTAAAAAAACAAGTATCAAAACACCTGATACACCAATAAGGGCGTATCGGGCGTATCGATATTTTGAACCTTGATCCCTAGTAAACATATCTCCGCAACAGTTTTGTAGGCAAAATTTCCTCAAAGAATGAAAATGAGCAAGATGGAACATGATTATTTTTCATGCAACACAATTATTTTTGTACCATGGACTGATTTTTCATTCTAAAAAATTGTAGCCCATGACAAGAATTTTACAACCAAACACTCTAATAACCTCATTTAACCAGGTAAATTTAAACAAAAAAAAAAAAAAAAAACAGAAACATACCCGGAAGAAAGTGGCAATGAACCGGGCCGAACCCAAGTGGCATGGACGCGAAAACCATATGACAAAAATTAAAGACTAAAGCTTTGGCATTATATGACAGGTACGAGGGAAGCACGTAGCATTAATATAATTTTGAGGATATTTGAATTTTGTCGAAAGGGTTTGATAATCAAAATTCCCCCCTGTTACATGGTCATGGAGTTACTATGGATTTGTAGCAGTTCCAGATAGGGCCCTCCAGGATGTGTTATCCAATGCTATTTTATGCAATTCCTGTCCAAAATAGACATGCAGGATGCGGGAGCTTCTGTACGAATCACTTGAAAAAAAGCTATTCAAGTTTCATTTTATCAATATACAATACACCTTCCAACTCGTCTGGTTCATACCCAACTTCCGAGGCCTATAATACTTAATTTCTCCAAGACAAAAAGAAGAGAATAAAATAGAGCCCTAGGACATGCAATGTAATTGATCCTTTGATGATTCATTACCTACTTATTCTATCTCTCAAGAATACTCTATACATTCGTTCATCTCTTTCGACCTCTTGTCAACATAGAGAGATCAATAACAATTACTGCAATACTTACCATGAATGAACTTCCCTGGACCATTTCACTAATTTTTTGTCCAGCTGCCCCAGACTGGCACTTTTACAATATCATCATGGTGACAAGCAAAATACCGATGAGAGAGTTCTGCCATCAGCTCCAAACCTTAGCCACGCCAGCTATTTTGTTTCTTTGCTTCAAATGCAGCACCATCATTGAGCATGTCTTGAGCATCAGTCTCCATTCCAAGCTTAGATAGGGCCAGAGCCTGCAAGTAGAAGGCAGTGGGCCACTCAGGCATGCACACCTGAGCTTGCATGGCATCCCGCAATGCAAGCTCTGGTTGACCATTCATCAAGTAGGAAAGAGCACGCCTTGCAAAGACAGTAGCCGAAGGCACGGACATCATGAGCACCAACTGCAATGTTGAAAAGAAACACAATTCAGAGATCAATGATCCAATAAATTTTAATCCACCAGAGAAAAATAAATCATGAAATTTAGAGGGGTAATCCAAAACACCTAAATCCAAATGGAGAAAGAGATTGATGCTAGAAAGGAAGCAGTCAAAAGAATCAAGATACAGAACATGTAAGACAATCCAGCGAACAAGAGAGAGCTGTGTTCTTCCTGTCGTTCCTGATCAGGGATCAGGTTGGTCATTGACAAGTGGTAGATAATACCAAGAAAAATGGGTATATTTTAAATAAGTTATATTGAATATTTGTCACATTATTCGCTGTGCTCATTGACAAGTGGAAGAGCTGTGTTCTTCCCATCTTAATATTTGTCACATTATTGTGTCTACAGGAAAAAGTAAATAGAATCAGGTTGTGGTGTCATTAAGTGCCATTGTTCTAGCTTCATGACTACAATTTTGAACTTCTACCCTTTGTACATGTAACAAATTGGTAACCTGAAAAATCTTAAACTGGATCCGGAGGTAATGACAAGACACAAATAAGAAAGAGATTCAATGACAAATAAATAAAATAGAATAAAATTCACCTCATGACACTGAAAGAAATGTAAAATATAAATACCTTTGAATAATAATCAATGGCACTCTTAAAATCCTTGTCTCTGAATGCAATATCCCCAAATTTCTTTGTATTCAACATCTCTTGCACTTGTTGAGTCCATTCTTGAAATGATAGCTTCATATTGGTACAACATTGCCACCAAACACCATGATATATGATTGTTAAGGCAAGAAAAACAATGAAATAATAAACAAACGTTTGAGAAGAATACAAAATTTTACCAAATCAAAAAAAAAAAAAAAAAACTCTGGCAACAACCATGTAAAGCAACTCCAAGAACAAATAATAAATAATGATAGCAGATTGTGTTTACAGCACAAAGGAGATGACAGGAATGTAGTCAATTTTACTCTATCAATTTTAAGGTCCATGATCATAATTTTTGTGTGTGAAGTGAAGCTTGTGAAAAGTTCCAAGTGTAGATTGGTTCTTACCTCATTTTCAGCACCCTCTTCATCCTTGTACCCCGTTTTTAGCAAAATATCATGCACAGCAGTAAGATCCATCCTTGCACATGCCTTTCCAAGTGGAGAAAGCATCGTTGGCAGTGGTGCTGTATTTTTTGACAAACCCATTAAAACATGTGATGCTACCTACAGATGCCCCAAAGGAGAACACATTAGGAAGTCTGAGATTTTAAACCAATATCACAAAAATACAGTGATTTAACTCAAGTTTCAGAAATATTAAAATTCTTACTTCTGTCTGCTTTTGAAGGGGCGCTACTGCTGAAAGAAGAAATTTTGTATTGGGTCGATCCCTTGCCTCAGATTGGAGACATCTTGAAGCAAGTTCAACCAGTTTGGTAGCATCTTCATTAGCATACTGCCCTTCTAAGGACGAATCCATCAACAACAATACATTTTTTCCCCTTATCAAGTCCAATGCCTGACAAAGAACAAATATTTAAAAGCTTCAAATAAATCAAAACAACACCAGTTACTGACTAGGAGAAGCTTATGACTTCAATGGAACAATTAGGAAAAGACAGGCATGCACTTCTTGAAAACCAAAACTATAAAGCACAGGATCATTCTTTTAATGGATAATTGAAAATCTTATTAAATTAGAAACAGAATTTATTTACAACATTCCAAAAAGCCCAATTCTTATTTACCAAATTTATGAATCACCTTGTAGTAGGACTTGAACATACAGGGCTACAACCTTCGTGTTAATAAAACAATGCTCTAACCAGTTGAGCTAACAGGGTTTTAAAATATTTTATTTCTCTGAGAAATTAGATATGATTTTATTTTTTTTCCCTTTCAAAAAGCAGCACCTTACTTCATTCAAGCACAGACCTTGCCTAACGCATTGTCCCTCGGCCTCTAGGAAATAGGAAGGACCCCCCAGTGCTTTAGTTGTGCTTCCAACTTTTAAAACACCACTCTGAAGTAGTTTCAAACTTCCACCGGAATTGAATTAATTCTGCTGAAGCTTTTCCACATTCATGGCAACAGAAGCAATTTTTCCCAGCTGGAGTTTAGGTTCAAACTTTGTTAACTTTTGGTCAAATTTCAACAAGCTTTACTGTTCAAATTGAATTATTACATAAATAGCATGTGTATTTCATCGAAACATGGAAACATGTCAAGTAAGATTTTGGGAAAAAAAAAACATAAGAATTTGTGTAAAAAAAAGTAAAATAAAAGAGGCAGGTTCCATGAGAAGACAGAGAAACAAAATGATCTGAACATCTCAGATCCCTGGTGTATGTGGATGGTTTTATAAATCGTCATCAGAACCAATACATGCAGAATGGCTTACTGCCATAAACCACTTTATACATTCTATGTTCTTATTTAAATAATTGTTAACTATGTAATAAGTCATGTGTATTGATGTCCGTGCAATATTCTTAGGATGTTTTGATAGTAGACAATAAACAATAAAACACAAAAAACTTATAACTATATCACTGCTTTCATATTTGTGAATAGAAGATCTGAACAGCATTCCAATCATCGAATCAATTAGACATTTCCCAGGCTCCTCCCACCAAACTTCGTTTATCAACTCTATCAGAACCTCCTCATTCACTACCTTCCACTTCAATAATGAATCTCATATCAGCCCATAAAAATTAACTCCCTACCATATTCACTGCAATTCGTAACCTTTCCTGAGTCCCCTCTTCTTACCCATCTTTATTTTTTTATCAACCAACCTATTGACTTTGATAATCAGATCACAATCTCCCCCCACTTCCTGAAGGCAAAGAAGCAAGCTTCCATTGAGAGAGAGATCACTAACCATTGCCGAGGTGTTAACAAAATTATGTAGATTGTAGCCACAAATTTTAGATGATTTGTCACTATTCAGCTACGTTTGGGGTCATGTAGAAATCCCTGCAAATTAGAAGCCAAGTAAGTTGTCCCAATCCCAATACAACCCCCATGCCTTGTTATCCTACTGCCCCAAAAAAGTACCTATGGTTAAAAAATATGAACCCTAGAATAATAACATGATAACTCCAATGAACCAATTGCTGAATCAATTTAAAAGTTAGTGTTTCACAAAACATTGTTTTTTTCATTCACATATTAAATGTCACAAACTAAAAAATGGTCACTTTACTAAAAACCTATGCTTTTTCAAAATGTAATGACTAAGCTTGGATCATCCACATTTTTTTGGTAATAAGGTCATCCACATTACCCCCCCCCCTCCTATTCTCCTCCTTTTGTTTGACAACACTAGTACAAATGTATGGCATCAGAACAATTGGTTTGCAAATGTATGCAATAATGAACACTAAATTCAAAAGACATGATGCCCAAAAATAAAGAAATACTTTTTATTGAATTTGTTTCAGGTGAAGCTTTTAGCTGCGTCATTTTTTAGGGCTCATTTCTAAGCTAATGCAACAGCACAAGATTGGAGCAGCATTGTGTCAAAAATCAAAATATGAATCTCAAGAATAGATGGATCACAAAAAACACAGTCCTGACTCCTTAGAACCTTAACAGCAAAGGAAATAATACAGAGTAGAGTGCATCATACATGGCTTGGAGGGATGTGCTTTCCACTCAAAAGGTCCAAGAGAACTGTTCCATAGCTGTAGATAACACTCTCTGGGATAACTCTGCCTGCAGAAATTGACCCACTGAACCCAATTAACTGGACATTGTTCATAAATCACTATAAAATACTTCTCTAGAAACTATGACTGTATAGCATTAAAAGGGGAAAGAAAAATATTTAAAAAAAAAACTAAGGCTATAAGATGAACAAAACAAGTTAAGAAGTACCTCCTAAAAGATTTAACTAGACAATTACTTCATAAAGAAGTAGTGTAATTATAAAGATTGTTAAGACTTATAGGCACAAGTTTATTCTTTTCATCAGTTAAGACAATCAACAAAGTCAATATAATAAATTAATTCTGTAGAACACCCAAACCCATTATGAGATGATTGAAGGGGAGAAAGTACATATCCCATGACTGATACAAACATAAAACGACATCAGAAAAACAAATGTCACAAAACAAAAACAACCTTATCAAATGTATGCTGGGCCTGTGGCAATCAATACAAGCTCAAGTTGCCCCAACCCTGTCTTTGCAAGTGAATTGGCAACGATAATGACTGACCTAGGCACCAATCACTATCAAGAAGAGCCATTCAGCCAAGAAGTTGAAGCCCTCTGCTCCTCTAATATGAAGCCTAAAGAACCATGAGCCATCTGGAGACTGGCCAAGAGCCACCAAATCACCACTTAGGCCATGAATCAAAAAGCATAGGTCAGTTTAAAGTTGAGCCTATGAACTTTATGTTCTTTTCCTAATTTTTTCTCTAAATTTTAAAATTTTTTGATGTGGGATCTGGTCATTGTAAGTTATTAATTAGGTCATTATAAGGTCAATTTAAAGTTCCAACGTCATCAGTCAATAGGTTAGAAGTTATAGCGTTTTTCCTCTAAGCCACTGATCAGTAACAATTTCATAGCTATGGTGAAAAGTAATCTGAGCCACCCTAGTTACCTCTACACATATCTGTTATCTTTTCCCCTTAAGGAAGAATAAGACCATTATCCATTGTTACTTCAGGCTATCCGGGATAAATTGAGAAGGGTAGAATAGAATAGAAAATTGGAATTTTTTGCTCTTAGATATTGTGTTCTGTCCCTAGACCACACCTCTTCTTCTATTAGTTCCCCCTCTTTTACTATTTTGTTTTCTTATCTAGTTTTTTTTCCTCTTCAAGAAATTTGATCCAAATATTGATTGGAGCTGTAATTATATATTCCAAATGGCAACAACTTTGTTGATTTAATTCAGGTTGGGATAAGGCTCAGATGAAATTTCTTCCACCTTTTTTTTATTTTATTTAGTTTTTACAAAACCCTAAACTAGAAACTTTATCTGTATGGAAATTGTCCAACTTAGAAACCTCAGAAGACACTGTTAAAATCTCTTTCCATATCCACTACCCTCTATCTCATTCTGCCCCACATGCATGCTTCTTTCAGCCTGTTTTGTTTAATTCATCATATTTTTCAAGATATTAAAAAATCTTTCTTTTCTCACTCTTGAAAATTTTGCACAGGATATTTAGCATATTCTCTTCTTTGAAATCCTAAAATTTAAACCACTCCTTAGACTAGGCTAGTTGAGGTTTCCAAAGGTGGGAACTTGTTCTGGAGAAAAGGTCAAATGCACATCTAAGGGTCAGTTCGTTTGCTCTGAAGTCTGACATCTGAAAGTGTAATAATTATATTAAGAGGTATATTGGTATTGGTGAACTTTTCTTTCCTTTGAACTCCGGATGCAGAGAATGTTGTTCTGAATTCTGAATTCTGAAAACTATCAAATATCCATTTTGACCCCACATATGAGAGTTTTTGTTTGTCTTTTTGGGGGTATCAGTAAAACAAAAAGTTGTATGATTGCACTTTAAGAGATAAGAGGAAACGAACAACCAATTTTCTCTTAAAGTTAAAAGATTCCTCTTAACAGATAAGAGTTAAGAGGAAACGAACAGGCCCTAAGTAATCAAGTAGAGAAGATCAGGTTGGCACCTTGGGAACGCTTAGGAAATTGCATACAAATTCAAAAGGAATAACCTATAAATTTTGAGGAAGCATTACCTAATTCAAAAGGAATAACCTATTCTAGTTTACCATGCCTCTTTCACACTATTGTTTCCCATTCACATTCTTGTTTCCATCCTTAGATAATATACAACAACGAATCTAAGAATACTTGGAGAAGATTAAATTCATAATTTCATATATGAAAAGTATTTTTTCGTCAGTATATATGAAAAATGAATTCAGTCCAAGAAAAAATAGCATTCTATAACTATATTCAAATCAACCCAAAAGTTTCAATTAGGGGAAGGTATATACCAGTCCGCAAAAACTCTGGTGGAGTATATGCCAAGTTTGTACTGTAGCTTTTACCATCTCGACTATTCTTCATGAGGCCAAAACTAGATAAACAAGGGTCCCCATCCTAACACCATATAAAGTTAAGTTGGGAAATTAAATAGGTTAGATCACACCTAAAAAGATGTAGAAGAGCAACTGGTTTTAACAAAAGAAAAGGGGAACAAAAAGGAAACAACCATAGAAGAGCACAACATGATATGAAATCAAAGCATTTTACTTGCTAGAACAATCTGTAAACATTCTTAGGATCCTGAAACTGTTTTAATTTCAGAAACAAGTGGGAATTTTCATTTGCAAGGATGGTGATGTGATATTTGTGCATGAAGCACAAGAAATGTAAGCAGTCTTTCAGTATAATCCCCATAATGTGAGACAAAAATAAGAAGGAAAAGAGAGAAGACTAACAAAGTTTAGAAGGACATAGATCAGGATTGGGAAATTTCCAATATAAGAAACAAGTAAAGTTGGTAGTAGTTATCATAGATAGCCTCATATTAATAAAGCTCTGTAACTTCAAGAGAAGCCCTTGCCAAGCCCCAACATTTTCCTCGTACCTCGTCAAAGAGGACCCTGTAAGCATTCAGATCATGATATATTTTCCGGTTCTCCATATTGCAGTGATCAAGTGCTTGCGCAATATAATATGCAACCCTCACACGCATTTCCCATGGCAATGGCTGCTTATCCCCTACCAAGAAAACAGGCAAAATTTACAAATGGAAATGCAACAGCAAACAAAAAAAGAACAGACAGAGGTAAGAAGATAGAATTAGATACATGATTCATTTAGATCACCTAGAAACAAATTTCAGATGGCACAACAAACTGGTTTATTGCAAGTTGCAACTACGTGCTTCTTATATTTCTCAACTTGAAATCCCCATTAGTGAGTGATACAAGTATGCTAAAGTAGAATTATGTTAGTTGGGAAAGATGGTTTTGATAGTTACTCATAAAAAAAAGGAGTCCAAAACTCTGGATCTACTGCACTTGTGCAATTGCATTCAGCCCATTATGAGTGTCCCATTACACATGTGGCCTCATGTGCATGAGTATTTACACACGTGTAACAGGATACCTGTCATAGATAGAATGCAAGTACATGAAAGTTCAGCACAAACAAGTGCAACAGATCCCAACCCCCAAAACAGATGGTTTTGACTGGCATGGAACAAATTCTCCAAAGGCCATCTATCTTCTTCAAGTTAGGAAAAAAATTGTTTTTTTATTCATCCTCCATCTGCCAGGGGTATCATTTGAATGCAAAATTTTGAAAATGGCTTTATAAAATTTAAAGGGATCATCATAATTATTAACCAAATTCTAAATTTCCAAGTTCCAACTACTAAGTGTGTGTAAATGTGATATGCCTTACTAATAGCAATAACAAATCCAAATTAAATTTGGATCGATGAAAAGCACATCAAGTTAACCATCTTGGCACTAAAATTATATAATGTTATATTTGGCATTTAACACTACCAACACCACATCCAATAAGACTTGATAATACAGATGAGCCACTGGCATATTTATATGATACAAGTTCTTGTTTTCAATTTTCCATTGAGAACCAACCATTACACCGATTGCCAAAACCTCCATTCCACATTAAAACTAATCGCTTATTCTACATAACATGAAACTGAATTAACTTCCATGTTCCAGCATGAATAAGGTTTAACATATGCCAACATTAAAACCAATCATTAATTCATATAAAACATTTAAAAAATAGAAAAACTGAGACTGATGGTGTTCAGAAGAAATCATCTCCTGGATAAAAAGTAGGAAAAAAAATAGAGGCACGAGGCATACAATGGAAGAGGTGTTTAGACAACGTATCATTGGGCATGTATTCAGCTACTAGGAGGCGCTCATCTCCCTCAGCACAACACCCAATCAGATTTACCAATCTCTTATGTCGAACCTTCCCAACTCCCGCCGCTTCCGCCTGTGAATAGACAGATTTTAAAGACAAAATATATGAGAAATACAGGATTAATACTGAATGCACAGGGGAAAAAAAAAAAACAACAGAAGCAGCAGGTCAGATTCGGACGAATAAAGTAAATGAACCAGGAAACAAGTAAACTCACCACGAACTGCTGAGCGTCGGGCCATGACTGTTTGGAGAAGCGTTTCACAGCCACCAACCGATTGTTCTCAAGTTTCCCTCTGTAAACAACATTTGGAGCCTTCTCTCCACTCTCTGACACGATATAATTGCTACTAAATCCATTCGTCGCCGTTCGGAGCTCGGCCAGAGCAAACTCTTTAAATGCCGGGACTTGATCTTGCTCCGCCTGATCCCCATTAGCTTCACCAACAAACAAAGTCAATAACAAACACCAAGTATCAATAAAATAATCTCCAAAAAAATCAAAGAAAATAAAAAAAAAAAAAACAAAAAAACGAAGAAAAGGAGAACCTAGATCTGGTTTGTCAGCTTGTAAGGATTCTTCGTCAGGAGATTGAACATTGCTGGTCTTGGACTGTAAGCAGCCCATGTCTAGCTACATAGAAGGAGCTTTCTCTTAAACCCTAAACCACCATTGACGATTCACGAAATGTTCTGAAGCTCTGCAACAGCAACGAAAATTCTCTGAAGATTTCGGGTGAATGCAAGCTCTCTTCTCTCTCTGCAGTATACTAGTCAGCCCTTCTGCAGTTGCAGCAACAGCAGCAGCGTAGCAAAGAAGAACCTGAGAAAGTCGGAGAGAGAGCAAGAAAGTAAAAAAAGATTAAAAGAAAGAGAGAGACCAAAAGGCGAGTGAAAAAACTAGTCGGACTCGGAAGTAAAAAGGTTCTCGAGAGAGTACGGAAGAGAAGAGAGAGGGAGGGATCACATTCACATGATAAGTGGACGATGGAGAAGAGCACGTGATCGACGGGAACGGACGGAGATGGGGGAGTTGTGGTGTTTCGAAAAGTGGGAAATGAAACTCTGCAGTGTGTGTGTAATCTGCTGCAGCTTTTACTGTACAGTACATCTTTACTTTACTGTTCACAGGAGGAAATTGAATGAACAAATGACGACGAGATGCTCTCGGGTGTATTACACTATTCATGGTCCCATTGTTTGCCACACCAACTAACGTTTTTTGATGCGCAGGTGCCCCAGACATCTGGCTCACATGAATTGTGGGTACCACTCCGCCCGCCCCCAGGCCCCACCTAGGTTCCCGGCGCATTACTCATTACTCAAGTCTAGCACTTTAAGTCAACCAATCTGATTAAATACCCTCTTTGATTATAGTGTTCAAGATCCGTGCCCCTTTTATCCATCGTTCGAATAAATAACATGAGACGTGTTACACGATATGGTATGGTATTGGTATTAAGGGTGAAAGTCGGGCGGGTCAAGCCGGGTTTATGGTCAATCGAAGCCTAATCTTAAAATTTGGATTTTAGTTTCGAGTTTAAGGTAAGTTTGATCTTCTCAATTCGAGCCAGTTTATATTATAATTTGCTATATTTGAGTTGGATTCAAGTTTGGATTGGTTAATGAATTTATTTTAAAATTATATATATATATATATATATATATATGAATGTATGTAGTTGAATTAAATCTCAACCCAAGTCCAGTCCAAAAACCAAAATCCAACCCTAGATTGGTTCGAGCTCGATTTAGGCTGCCCAAATTACACCACTATATGATACAGTTGTCAACAAGTTGGATGTGGCATGTGTTTTGCTCGATCCAATCTCAGTCCAAAGCAATTTCAAACTGACCCAATTCCGTGACGAGGGACTAGCAGACCCGACCCGGCTGCCTCTCAATTCATACTGCATATACTACTCAATATTTCAAAGCTGCAATCTCAACGGGTCGGGTTCTATCCCAATAGGGTCAGGTCAGTGCAGATTTGTCACTTAACGCGATCCACACATTCCTAACTGGTTTTTCTAAAATTACAGATTTATCACTTTGGCATGACCATTAAAGCTTTGTTTGGTTTTAAGGAAAAAATAGGAAAACCTTTACAGTATAGGTTTAAAACCACTGTACTTTATTATACGAGAATGAACTGGCAAATATCTCTAGCTATGCAGTTTCGGACTTTCGCTGATGTGCCCTATGCAAATAGGCTGATACTGACTGATAGAGTGCACCGATTAGGTTATTTGATACTCACTGAGATGATGCAAGCACTTTAGAATTTGCAAACAAGAAGACAAAAGTCAATACAGGGACAATTTTGTCTTGAAATATTTAATTTTCTTTTCGCTTACATAATTTGCCATTTTTTTAAACGTATCTGATTTTGCCAATTAAGTAAACTTTAATTTATACATTTCAATATTGTTATCAAAATTCTAGATGAAATAAATGACTAAAATCAAATCATTTTGGATGAATTTTCAAAATTTTAACTGAAATGGAATAATAGATCCATCAAAAAATATTTGATATTTCGTGTTAATAATGCAAAACCAGAATTTTGCAAAATTTCACTTCACCAACAATACTCCAAACCACTGTTCCATAATGACATCCTTGCAACCAGCAAGGGACTGTTTGATAACAATCTATGATGCCAGAAGGATATGATACCGAAAATGAAAAAAAAAAAAAAAAAACTTTTTTCAGCAATTTTTTATGAATACCATCTCATCGATTACTGCTTTGTTAGGAGTCTATTGATGGTTATAGGCTTTTTTGAGTATCGTATCTACCTAAATTTATAGCCAAACCCTAAAGCTGCCCTAAGAATCCAAAATACGATCCATGGGGCATTAGGTTTGACCCATTTTTTTATGTTGCAGAGGATATGGACCCCTAGTGCAATAGACCTTCACCGACAAATAGGGGTGGATTTGAGTGTTAGGCTCGAGCTCAATTCAAGGTAGAGACTTGAGTTCGAGTTCGGCTCGGTTCAAAGCTAGCAAGTTTGACCTTCATTTGGTTCAAGTTCGACTGCAAGCCAAGTTTTTTTTTTAAAAAATAAAAATTACACATATAAAAATATTTTATATTTTACATACAAAAATTAAGAATTATAGAAAATATTTATTATTATACATATAAAAAATAAAAAACATATATATAAATGTTTTTATTTTACATACAAAAAAATAAGAATTATAAAAATTATTTACTATTATACATAAAAAGTAAAAATATTATATATAAAATGTTACTATATTTATATATTTATATGTATATGTATGTATATAATAAAAAATTATTTATTTATTATAGTAGGCTTGATTAGGCTCGCAAATTTCACGAGCCGAGCTTCACTGTGCTCGAACTCGGCTTGATTAACAAATGAGCCTATATATCAGATTTGAATTCAGCTCGAAGTAGGGCTGTTCATAAGAATGCCCAACCCGACCAAACCGACCAACCCGGACCGACCCAACCCGAGTCGGCCGGGTTTTCATCAGTATCGGTCGATTTCGGGTTGGGCAAATATATAAACCAATATATTGGGTTGCTTTCGGTTTTCTTGTGTGAAAACCGAAACCAACCCGACCCGAACCAAACTAGTCTTCTACTAGTTCGGTAGTTCCTAGTTTGAGTAGTTTCCTATTTAACTATAACTAGTCTTCTACTAGAACTAAAAAGCCTATTAGGCAATTACAATTTGAATAGGCAATCTATCCTAATTTCTAACTTTCTATAATCTTTTACACCAAATAGGCAACCCATTAGGCAATTACAATTAGAATTCAATTAGGTGTCCTTTTGTACAGGAGCAAAACCGAAACCGACCTAACCCAACTCAAACCGACCAGGTCGGTTTGGCCTATCAGTGGGGTGGTTTCGGTTTCCACCTCAGGTAACCCAACCAGGTCGGGTCAGTTGGGAAAACCCCAATAAACCGACCCAACCCGATCCATGAACACCCCTAACTCGAAGCTTGGTTTTAATCAAATTGAGCTCGAATAGCTTGTGAGAAACTTGGCTCGTAGTCAACCCTACCCACAAACCATAATCATACGTAATGAATGGGTCAAGTAATGGTCTTCAGATGGCAACCAACTTACTTTTCCACGTCAGTTCAATTATATGGTAAGTATCAACCCGGCACTTCATCCCCCCTCCCCCATTCTTTATATAATTGCTTTAAAAAACATAAAGAAAATAAAATGGCTATTATTATATGTAAAACCGTGGATGAGAGGACCCACCCCAATTAAATAGAGGTCTGAATAAATCATGTCAGCCCTCCACCCCGGCAAAACAAGAATCATTCAAATGCAATACAAGTTTCAAAAATAAAATAACTTTTGCCTTGCATGATTATTTGATTAATATTATAACTACAATCATTGTCATTAAAGGAGAATCATTAGGAGAAATAGTAATAAAGAAGCTAATGGTGGTAGAAAAAAAAGAGGTTAATGTTGAACAAAGAAAAAAGAGGTCATAATGAAGAGACTTTGGGACAAGATAGGGGTATTGATAGAGCCTTATATCAAGTATAAAAATAGGTCAAAAAGGGATCATGGATAGATTAGTTGGTCTTTTCTTTATGTTTTTCTCATTTGTTTATAAAATATTAGGGTTCCAAATGATGTATAATTATCTAGGGTATTTATTTTAGTGAGAGGTTGGTTCCATCTGAAGCCTTAGTGCACCTTTAAAGGAGTTTAGTGGGATCCATTTGCTTTGGTAATGCTCAGCCATGATCACTACCTTACCCATTTGCTTTGGTTAAGCCATGCTCACTTCCAAATTTGCTTGAGTTTTATAGGTTTTTTTGTTGGTTCTTTGGCACATAAAGCCTTTTTTTTTTCTTTACTTTCTTATTTTAAATAGAATTGATGGTTGAGTCCTTTTTTTTACCACTGACTCAGCTCACCTCACAGCCAAAGAAGCTAAGTTCTTTCTGGTTGACTCTGGTTGGGTGGGTGGATGATCCTTTTGACTACTAATGAAGCATTTGAACTTCAATCTTTCCTATTTTGGTTTATATTGATAGCTAATTAGAATGGCTTTCATTTCCATAGGTAAATCCGTAAATCATCTCACCTTCATAAGATTCTTTTGATAAAACGCATTCTAACACATGGCCTAGGGTTTTTCCACACCCCCTCAGTTGATCCTTTGCATTCTATCAACAGCCAAAGTTCTTTGCCTCTGGTATACAATTACCCATCCACACTGAGCTACTTCAATTCAATAGTAATCTACAAAACAATGCAATGACTAAGGTTGCCCTATTGGTATTAGAACAAACCATTAACAATGATCCACATTAACCCTGTAATTAATTTGAAGGTTAATGTAAAAGTTCATGGTTTATTTCTTGGATATAATTTCCTCCCTGTTAAACCTTCCATGCATGGGTGTTAGAGTTATAAGCAATTTTGAATAGCAGAAGAGGCCAAATGTGATTAAATAAGAATAATATATAATGTTCTTCAATTTACACACAAAAGCTTTGTTATGCATTTGTTTTCTTTGTCATAGTAGACTTAATTAGGAGTGCAAGTCGGGCATCTGATTTGAACAATTTAGGCTGCATTGTTGGTCTTGGACCCTTGAGCCAAGCCTCCTCAAAATTAACAATCACTTAACAAGCCTGCCCAAATTGCACCCCTAATTTTGATTTTATTTTCCCTAACCACCTCTAATAGATCTACTTAAATAGTGGTTTTTTCATAACAATGTGTAATGTATTATTTATGGACTTTCTTGTTGTGCAAATGGAAGGTCTAGATTGGATGCAATGGTGGTCATCGTCGTGTAGTTTAGGCTCAGTTTGGAAGGAGTATAAATACAAATGTGTACAGTGCAAATATATACAAAATATAAGGTTTTGTACTCTACACATTTTGTATTTATACTCCTTCCAAACAGAGCCTTAGGCTATGTTTGGTTGCAGTGCAATTATATTTGTACTAGTACAAATGCATGGAAGTGTAAATGAAAAGAATGCAAATTCTGATTTAATTTTGTTTTGGGTTTTACTTTA